ATTCATTCAATATTCACTGGGGAAGTCCCTGTTCCCCCGAGCACTGCCAGGAGTGACCAGGAATAACGGTCACAAGCTGGCAGAGGGTAGATTTAGGCTAGATATCAGGAGGCGCTACTTCACGGTCAGGGCAACTAGGTTCTAGAACCAACTTCCAAGAGAAGTGGTGCTGGCTCCTACCCTGGGGGTCTTTAAGAGGAGGTTAGATGAATACCTTGCTGGGGTTGTTTAACCCCAGTAATCTTTCCTGCCATGGCAGGGGGTTGGACTAGATGATCTACTCAGGTCCCTTCCTACCCTAGAAACTATGAAACGATGAATAAATTAACACTAAAAAACTTCACATTTCCTAGTGCCTTTAAAAGGCAGCTTCATCCGCTCCCCAATTACAACAAACACACCTTTGAATATACTTCTATAACATTATAATATCTATCACCTGCATTACATAATAGGTGTGGACAGAAGTGCAGCTCCCAGCTGTAACTCAGAATGTGTTCTGCAAAGCATTCCGAGTTACAGCGTTACTCCAGACCAGACACAAGTTCACTGGTGGTTCCAGGAGGGAGGGGAATCTAGCTGCTGCTGGGAGCCTGCAGCCACATTCCCGTAGCAATGGCCAGGGCTCTCTGCCAGTGCTCCCTGTTTTCAGAATGAGACGGGGAAAAGGCAGTGGAAGAAATTAATTGTTGGGGCTCCCCAGATGGTGCTGAAGGGTGGGGTGTGTGAAATGGAGCTCCTGACCACCTCAGGGGACTGCAATACACCTACCCCACCCTCCAGGGGGGCTGAACCCCCTCCCCCCTGACTGAACTCCCTCTGCTCCCTTTCCCCCTTCCCATTCTGAAAACAGTAACAAGCTTGGACCTGGTCAGATACAAGTTACAAAAGATGCTACATTTTGTAACATCTTTATCAGATACCTCATGCAACCAGGGATCAGATTTTCACCCAAGTAGTCATTTTTTAAGCTGTTTGCAGCCATGCACTTGTGTTTTGGTCACAGCTATAAACTGCTGTCTATGGTCAGATCAGGCAAAAACTATCACTTATGTCTTTACCTATGGTTATTTGTTTCAAAGAGAAGGAAAGCAAGACTCATCCTAGAGAACTTATTCAGGTAAGATGCACTGACCTCAGATTCTACTGATGATCTAAGGGCTTTAGGTATGGATGCTTAAATGTGTCTGTATGCTTTCTGGAAAGCATCTCACACAATTAAAACTGCCAAAATATAAACAACAGAATTTCAAATGACATTAACAGGACTGAAAGGGAGTTCAGTACTGTAAGAAGTTAATTATTTGAGCTGGGCAAGGGAATGAAAAAAAATGTTTGACCCCCAATGAGAGTTCCACAACCTCTACCTGCTTTTGATGGAGGAACAAGAGTTAAGAGAGGGGATGGGGAAATAGACATTAATTTTCTGGAAAAGGTAATTTCTTTTAAGGGATATTTTTAACATAATGGGATTGCTGGACTGCAGTTATGACTGATTTGAACAGCATAGTAGTTCAGCAAAACAGCATAGGATTTTTTTTTTCTTTTAAATTTCATTTCATAGGTCAGTCACAAATGGTAGCCTCTAAAATGTTACCTAACTAATGATGGATGCAAGTGTCCCTGCATTTAACTTTCATATGGGGTCTCTGAACTCTAGGAATTACCATCCTGCAACTAAACCTGGTACATTCTTGTAGGTGAAGAAATTTATTGGAGAAGTATAAGCCAGACACAAGATTTTGAATTATGCCCTGTTTGATTCTTAACAAAAGGGAAGATCTGAATGAAATATGGAATTTCCATGCTGGAGCAAAACATATAAAAAAAGGTCTGTGGGCAAACAGTGGAAGTAATCATGCTATATCAGGTAAAAGTTCTACAGAATTTTGAAGAAATTAGATTATGTGGGTACTTGGAAACTCTAATAGATTTCTAAACAAATGTTAAGAACTTAAAAAGAATAGAGATATTTTTAGCAGCTTGGAAAGAGTACAATTATCACGGGAAGCTCAGGTCTTTAAATAAAACTTTGCAGTTGCCTTCTGTTTTAGTTTTTTTAGCTTAATAGGAAGTAACCTATAGCCAACAGCCTATGAATTACTGCTTTTCCAGGTTACAACAGCTATAAATCCATCCTACTGTACAGGCTGGGAAAGGTTACGATTAGTCTTGTCCCAGGAGTTCTTAGACTGGCATATAAATCTCTGCATAGCCTTGAACTGACAGTACTTTAGCAGTTAGTACTCAGCAGGCCCTACAGAGAGCCAGAGCATGCAAATCATTGTGGTTTAGGAGCACTGACAGGATGCTGAGCCTGTCTACTTTGTCTGACATCAGAAATAGTTTGCCACATAAACTGCTTAGAAAAGTAAGCTTCAGATCTACTGCAATGCTAGGAATTTGTAAGGAAGGCAGCTTACAGAAATGTAAACACAATGTAAACAAAATTAATTTTAAGAGTGGGAGAGAAACCCTTAAAATCCAACCAAAGGTTCTCTTCTCTCTGTTCCTTGCTATAAATAGCTTCAATTACAGTACTATACTCCTTTTCACTGCAAGTTCACTAGTCATCTTAATTATCTGCATTATTGCAGGTTTACAGAAAAAGCATTCCATCTTGTGCCTTGGAAACAGTTACCAATTTTTAGAGCAGAGCAAGGGCTTCTAAAACAGATTCAAGAAGAAAAAGGATTAGAGTCAGAACCTGGGGCCAAATTAGAAAAGTATACGTTTGCTGTATACAATATGTATAACTATATTTAGAGTCTGGGGCATTGCCATGAACTTTGTCCAATTTCCTCACTGTCACACACACATGCCAAAGTGTAATTTATACTTCATTGGTCAATTTGCCTGAACAAATATACAGGAGACTACATCAAAAACAAAAAGGCAATAGCATAACCATGGGACGAGGGCAACTAGGGGAGTAGCCCTGGGTGCCACTTCTGGGAGGAGCATATAAATAGCCACCAGAGGGCTATTTATAGCTTCAAGAAGGACGTGGAGAACCTGGAGCATATAAATAGCCACCAGAAGGCTATTTATAGCTTCAAGAAGGACATGAAGAACCTGGAGAGGGTCCAGAGGAGGCCACTCATATGATTGAGGGCCTCTGTGGCCAGCCCTATGAGGAGAGGCTGAGGAACCTGAATCTCTTCAGTCTCCACAAGAGGAGACTGAGGGGGGTTCTTGTGGCTGCCTACAACCTTATCAGGGGCCAGCAGCAGGGACTCAGGGAAAGTCTGTTCACCAGGGCCCCCCTTGGAGTTGCTAGGAACAATGGCCACAAGCTGAGGGAGGATAGGTTTAGGTTAGATATTAGGAAGAACTACTTCACGGTAAGGATGGCCAGAGCCTGGAATAGGCTTCCCAGAGAAGTGGTGCTCTCACCTTCCCTGGAAATCTTCAAGAGGAGACTGGATAGGCACCTGGCTGGGGTCTTATGACCCCTGCTACCCCCAGTGCTCCTTCTTGCCCATGGCAGGGGGTCGGACTTGATGATCTGTCTAGGTCCCTTCTGCCTCATTGATTCTATGATTCTATGATTCAGAATAGCAGCAGCTGACTATGCTGCCACATCAGTAACATGGCAGCCACTGCTGGACTAAGTGTTGCCTCTGCAAAGAAGTGGAGTGCCAGGGAGAGGGGGTAAAGCAAAGTAGCAGCAACCAAAGTATGTAAAAAGATTTAAATGTTTGACTATCTTGCCTCATAATGTACCTCCAGATCCAGGTCCCTGACGTGCAACTTCCACCAAGTTATTAGTATCTGACTCAAGTTAAAAGGACCTGAGTATGTTCATTCTCCAGAATCTTTGAACAAAAGTTGTGTGCCAATTTAAGGTAGCATGGGAGTCAAGTACTATATTATACCACCATTTCAGAAATGATCTCAGAGGGCTGAGCCATGTAAAGGTGTTTTGTGTTTAAAAACAGAGATTAATATGTCCTTCAAATTGTCACTGTTAATTTACAGATTCAGAAACCTATCCCAAGTTATTGGCATTTGAGCCTTGTTTTATGTGGCTATTTAAATTAATTAACATAATGTGTCCTTTAGCCTTCTTTACTGATGTATGCCTTTTTTTGTCTTTTTCATCTTGTTAGCATATAATGATACTTGTATTTTTGCCATCTTTCGATTTTGGTATGGGAACACCCTCCCTGTGCTAATAAAACTCAACTATTACCCTCTGACACACTAGGATGTATCTGGGACTTCTGCCTAGAAAATCAGAAGGAGGTACTAAGTCTATAAATATTCCTGTTTTCAAGATGGAAGCAGCACCTGCCCAGCTCAAGCAGTCGCTGCTTCCCTGTACACAGACCCTCCCCCAGTCATAAAGACAAAATAATTTCTGGGTTAGTTTATAAAATAATGGTGCTCCAAGCTAGTGTAGCAAGCTTGCCTTTCGGAGCTTGGGTTGAGTACCAGGCTTGCAATCTTGCTGTTTTGATTGGTGGAGCCCATCCACCAATCAGGAGGCAGCAAGAACAGTTAAGTCACGCCCCTTTCCTGAGGGGAGGGGGAGAGGAGTTCCCCCCCAACCCCACACCGGACCTGATTGAAGACTGCAACACTCAGGTCCAGAAGACTTTAGGGGCAGAGCCCTGGGGAGTATAAAAGGAGTTCTTTGCCCAGCATGAGGGAACACATCTGGGAGAAAGAAAAGAGAAGAGCAGGGCTTAGAAGATCTGAGGAGAGCTGCTCAGCAGGGCAAAGCAGTAGCCCAGAAGCACCCCTGAAGATTTCCATCAGTGGGGAATGGCAGACAGCTCCAGCAGCTAGGCTCTCGGTGTGCAGCACGGCGCATAGCATCCAGACCCTGGGAGCTGTGAGGTGTCTTGGGTCTGCAACCTCTGGCGAGCGGCCAGGCATACGGTGCACAGGCCAGTGCATGGAGTAGGACCTTTGGAGCACTTGGACGGCTCAGGTCCTCAACCCCCGGAACAAGTCTGGGAGCTCGGTGTAGGAAGCGCTGCATGGAGGGTCCGGGAGCTGACCAAGCCTGGTGCTGCATGGGGCAGCCCAGGCCTCTGACCAATAGCAAAAGGTTGAGTCCAGAGAACCAGATGGTGCTTGGACTACTGAGCCAGGAGACAGGGCTGAGCCAGAGGCCCCAGAAGCCCTGCATAGTGCAGCCCTGTTCCAGGGGATAGCGACTCCCCCAAAACCCACTGTAGGTGAGAGAGCAGCTCGGTGCAGAAGACAAGGGCCACCCTCCAGGCCTGGGAGCCATGAGTTGCAGGGAAAAGAGGATTCCTACAGGGGAGGGGACTCCCCACCTGATTAGTTAAGAGCTCCTGAAAGTAGAGGTGCCACTGGGAGGGCCCCCCTAAAGTTACCAGCTTCTTTGTAGGGCTCAGGAAAAGCCCAAGGGCATTGGGGTTCCCCTTGGGATTAAGTTTATCTTTGGGGTTTATCTGTTTCAGATTAGATACTTACCTGTGATTTACCTGTATCTGGAGCACTGGTATAAGGTTTTATGTCATTTACCCAGAGGGTATTGTTTATGTTACTTGTTTAGATATCTTTAAAATATATATATATACACATTATACGTATGTTTATATCCATGTTCCTTTCTCTTGTGATAAGTTAATGTAAATAAA